CCAAGTTCTTGGATCGTGGACACAAGGCTTCAAAAGGAAGACAGCCTAACTCTCGAGACACCTCCGAGACGGTCGGAAATCCGTTGGGAGGAGACTTTGCAGGCAGCTTTTGTCAGTGACGAGAAACGTGATGGCGGTTTGAAACTGAGAATCCGGCGTGAGACTTGGAAAAGAGACTAAACGGTTACGAGACGACGAGTTTTTAACTGACTTTCGAGATCGGCTACGCGTCGCGATTGCGGTCGTAGAATTTTTAGATCACTGATGCTCCGACACTTCTCGGGGCGATTATCAAACGATGTCTTACGGTATCGTAGTCTCATTAAACTATCTGTGTTGCAACCTTCGAGATAGGACGCGATTTCTCAACTTTTTTTCCCGAAATCGCCCGGCACTGATAAGACTCGCTTCTGTTTATCCCTTTCTCTTAATTACCGACTTCTACACAATTTCCTGTAAACACCAACAGTTACACAACGTCAATATTTTAATTTCCTGCTAGGCAATGTAACTGCACGTGCGTTATATTACATTTATATTGTCGAGGGAAATTATAATATCGACGTTGCGTAACTGTTGATCGTTGTTTACTGGATTCTTAAACTCTTTCCTAGAAATTCTGCCCGTTCCCTTCGAGATCGAATTAACATTTGCTTTTCATACCAGGACGTTTTAGTGGAAATCACACGTTATTTAATTACGATTATCTTAACGAAGGACTGCTCTATTTCCTTAATTCGCAAAAATTTTGCCTTAGAAAAGTATACGCGTTTAACATAGTCGAATGCAAAAGAAACGACACCGATATCTCGAGACATTGCGACATTTCAGTTTCAATCTGCCGTCACATTCCTCTAGGAAGCCAAAGGCTGAGCGAAGATCCGTCTCGGGCTCAGTTCTCGCGAGTAATTCGCAACGAACGAACTCTCGACTCAGCGCATTACTGTAATCTCGCTCGCCTGAGAAGTAAAAGCCTGTGTCCACGATGGTAGAACTTGGTCCAAGTTCTAGTCTCGAGAAATATGTAACCAATCAACTTGCAGCTATTCTATAAAAGCTGCAAGTCGATTGACTACATATTTCTCGAAACCAGAACTTGGACAAAGTTCTAGCATCGTGGTCACAGGCCTTAAGACGCGGTCGAGAAGACGGCGTTTCACCTTTTTCGACCGCTACAAAATATTACGCACGCAACGGTGTGCGGGTCGTGATCTCTGCGGAAGATCGGAATCTTGGCGAGAAAAGAGAGAGAAAAATTGACCGGGACTGATGCGTCCTCGAGTATCAAAGTAGATACCAAGTATCGGCGATCCACGCGGAATGTCTTCTAAACTTGCGCTTATGCGTTTCCTTTCCGTAATCCTATATCCGCTAGATAGTCTCCGATTTCTTCATACCTGCGCGAAACGATTCATTCGATTCGCGGCCTCGGCGAAATGTGCGCCGTCGACAAGTAGAAATTCGCCTTCCGCGGAATGCGCGCGATGCAAATCAATCGCCGTTTTCTTCGGGCTTGCCCCGAGTGGCCTCGCGCTTGTATGAAATTCCCGAGATGGGCGTCAGACAAATCGAAAGATCGCGACGGGAGAGTCGACTGAATGTCGCTTCCCAAAAATACCATCCACGTGATATCCGTTGAAAAGTATGTATCCAAAAGTATCCCAAGTGAATTGTAGTTTCGACGCGGAAGCAAGAATCACACTTGATTCGAACATTCGAATTGCCGCGCAACGAGTCCGCGCTGACTGTAACGAGAGCTGAAGATTGTTCGCCCGGAAGCTTTCGAACTTAGTCCAGCCGTTATCGCGATTACTGAACGCGTAGCGTTCCGCCAACAGAAGCCGCAGACTGAAAGATGGAGCGATGTCATAGGCGGTGCGACTCGTCTTCCTTTTCATTCTTCTCGCGCGCGTATTATCGCGATAGCATAATACGCACGCGTGTGTATTAGCAACGTAGCCTCCCGCAGGTTGAGCATCACTGTGATAAGCGAGCCGTTACGCTGTTTAGGACGTTGCGTGGTTTGACCTGCGCTCGCTCGCCAACTGGAAGGAGAACGCGCGTGTATGCATTTGCGCGCAGAAGAGAGCGATTGATCAATGAAAAAAGCGCCGCGAATCGCGAAATTCGAGAGAATCTTCGTGCGACCCAACGTGAGCCGAGCGACGTGAGACTCGGAGAGAACGCGCGACATTCTCTCCCCTCTCCGCGAGACCAACCTCCCCGGAGAGCACTCGAGGAGAGTGACTCTTCGACGAGAGCGACTTAATCAGCGGCGCAATCGCGACCTCCAAGGCCATCTCGCAGTCGGGCGTAAACATATTGCACGTTATTTGGAGAAATGCGTACAGAAACGCTACACCGTGCACGTATTGCACACACACGGAGCTCTTATCTCTCTCACGAGAGAAAGAGAGACTCGCTGCCGAGTCCAGACTTGAAGGGCCAAGCGTGAGAGCCTCATCCATTTCAGAAGATTGACGAGATTTGTAATCTTCAGGACTGTACGGACCACACCGGACTGAACGTTCCTTCTTCTTTTTTTCTAAGAAATTTCGGGACGCAGATGTATTTCTTCCGAGTACACAACGCGGCGCCGATAGACACGCGCGTAACTATGCAGTCGCCGCATTCCGTACGACATTTGTTGGCTTACCGTCCTTGATCATCCTCTGTACCACGCTGACCATGTCCTGTATCTCATTCACGTGAAAGTCATTGTCGGTATCGGGGGGCAATCCGAAATCTGATTGTTAACTGTTAAGGAGAAATCTGTTCGGGTAGACGATAAAAATCGGCTCCGATAACGCGAACCGAGCGACACGCAGACCATTCCGCGTTCTCGATAAGTCCCCGTGAAGCTGGTATTGCATTTGTACAAAGTTTTCAAGCGCGTTGATTGGTTGCGAAGTAGAACAGTTCTCGAGAAATTTTCTATCCTGCAGCTAATAAACACGCTTGAAAACTTTGTCGCACGACAAATCCAATATCAGCCTAAGAGAGGCGAAGTATGGAAGCGCTGCTCCAAACCGCAGCTCCCGCGATCTTTGCGCCGTGCGCTGACTCAAATTAACTAGAAACAGCAATCGTCCGAGGGTTTTTTAGTCGTATCTCACGTCTCTTTTCTAGTCGTCAAACCGCACAAGCGGCACTCAAACACGATCGCGAAATTTAAGGTAGAAAAGAAAGGTAATCGAGTAGTTTTTGGAGCAAACGGCCGCAAAATCGTTTCGAGACTCCGCCTTTTCTTTCGAAGAACATATTAGAGAACGTAATCTGAAAAGATAAGCCCTTGAAATAACCCGAGATTTAAAAAAAAACAATAATTCATGTGTAATTAATGTACCTCGTATCTTTTATGCTGTATCCTTTTTCGTGCGCACTCCTCGATTATAAATGACATCGGTGCCACTCCGCATGTGACCCTAGCGATTACACAGACCTTACATAACGATAATGGAAAACAGAAGGGGAGAGAAAAAATGTATAGTAATAGTATATGTAAGCCAATTTCTTGCGTATTTCATCGAGATAGATTTTCTCGCGACCACAGGAGCTTGATTCTTGAATTCATTCGAAAGAGAATCGTGCGCGAAAATTCTGCTCTTACAAGAAAGTTGCGAGTCGATTGGCCAAAAGTCATGCGAACAGCCAATCACCCTACAACGGCAAATTTTTCGCGTACGTTTCTTTTGCGAATGATTCAAGAATCGAATCCCAACCCGCGAGTTGGAGACTTCGAGGGTGCCAGAGCGAACGGCGGATTGATGAACAATACGGTTTGGCAAAACAGTATCGGTTACACCGACAGAGTGTAAACGAGCGATACAAAGAACGTAGCACGCCCGCTGGTTTACGAGCTCTTAACGAGGCCAGGTAATACGTGCGGATCGCGTGGAGACTGGTGTCGAGCACCTAGTCGACATCGTCGGGGAAACCGAGAAAAGAGGCCTAATAATAAACACAAGCGCACACATATACATATTGAATATATACACGTGACGTTCGCTCGTCGCTAGCCCGTTACCGATATCTTCATCGGAGAAGCTGACCTTTAAACCGCGTGCAGATAAGACGGCATCGCCTCGCGGAGGTTTTCTCAAGTCATCTGGTCGTTATTGATTGTAAAATGCGACGTTCCTCTTTCCTCGATTCTCCACGATCTTTTCCACGAACCGTGCCCGAAAGCACGCTCCGTTATCCGAGAGGAGGACACGTGACGAAGGGAGAGACGTAGGGCTCGCATTCCAACATTCTTGAGAAAGACGAGGAAGAATATATCTCGCGCGCGAGCGCGAGTTCCCGAATGAATCGTCGATTCTTCCGCTACGGAGATGCGAGCTCCGCTACGCACTTTTGCCTAGAAACGACGTTACGATAGGATGAAGCGTCCGATTCGATACTGGAGATTTTCGCGTAGCCCTTTCTGTTGCAAACTGCAAGCGCGAGGAAAAAATGTTTACGCGCTCGCTTAATAATACGCTCGTCCTTATCAGCGTCACTCGAGAACCGACGCACCAAGTGACACTTTCAAAAGTCTTCCCTAGCACAGTATATTGGTCCAACATTGGGAAATAATGTAAATCTGGTATTCCCAGTATTGGTCCAATATTGTAAGATGAACGCCTTTTCTTCTTTAGCCAATGTCTGTTTAGCAAACAGTTTGTTATTACATTGTTAAATATTGGCCAATGCGCTTCCAATATAAATCTAATATTATATAATTATTATCGTGCAATATTTACATTTATTTCATGGCTAATATTGGCTTGGACAATATCGGCCAATGCATTTCTAATATAACCAACATTGGACCAATATTTAGCTAACGCACTGTGTTACTGGGGTCTAGTCGAGATAGGAATAACGGAGGGACGTCTATAATTTCGTCAAGTTAGCGTCAGATTGACAAATAAGGGCGGCGAGAAAATGTGAGTCTGCTATCATGGGTTCATAATTCTTGAGAAATTTCTCGAAGAATTACAAAAAAAAATTATGAGCAACTGAAATCCTACTGGGGACTCTACGAGCTTTTTCGTTTTCGTCTTACTAACTCAATAACGAGAGCCATTAAACAAGTCCTTTTCGTTATTTAAACAATTAGTGTTGGAACGATATTTGTATAACAATGAATTTCCGCCTCGGCGTGAATCACCCGAGCGTGCAAATCTCGCGAAACCGCGCGTGCAGGTGCGTGTCCGCGAGAGAAATGCGCGAAAAACCAAAGACCGGCTAATCACGAACGCGGCACGCATTGAGGCAGGCGAACGGCGAGTCGATCGATACGCATACGCGCATATTCGTACACATGCGTCTCAGACGGCACAGGTGGTCTTGTTGTATTAGCGTCAGGTAGATACACGACGCACACGCCGAATGTAAAAGGAGAACTAGTAAACCCGTGACGCGCGAATCCGCATCGAGATCGGATTTGGGACGGCTGTCCCGTCTCGCGTTCGGCAGCTTCTCATCACCTCTGACTTCTCGGAGATCTCTGAACCTCGCGCTTGAATAAAATCACCATCACAAGGGGATATTCGACACGATGTCCCCGCGCTGTCGTGGCACAGGAGCGAGAGGAATCAAGCGGGAGAGACGGCCGCGTTTCGTCCTACCGGGACGCGAGAATCGAGATAAACTTGATCCGCGAATAAAGTGCAGACGGGACGAGGGTACCGTGACATTCTTATCGAGTCGAACGTCACTTTGGTAGATAAATGACAATTATATTGATTAAATTTAATTACGCGTTTCACGCGCGGGATTAAAAGATCTCCCCGTATCGAGCGCGGACAGATAACGGAGTCGTTATTTTTCAAGCGACCCCTCGGACGCGATTAACCAGATGTTTCAGCCCGGGCTCCTTCCACGCCGGCCCGGAGGTAGGACGCGGGGCGCAAACGTACCTGTCCGCGGCTCTAATTCCGAGCGAATCCGCGGGCCAAGTCCAGAAAAGAGAGTCCGTCACTCACGGAGGAGCTGCGACGATCTACGATCCCAATTTTCTCCCTCGTACTTTCCTAATCCGATCCGCGACAATTCAGGCACGTCGCGACGCCAGGCGGAGAACTCGGCCACGGTCCCGCGGGTCGTCCGCGGATGGCAGCGGCGGACGCGTGCGCTCGTACTCCGTACGACCGCGGCGGCCAACTACTCGCTACTGGCTCCGCTCGCGACGACCGCCGCCGTCGTCGGGGATCAGCGCCGGGCGTGTGTCTCGGGCCGACCTCCGTCGCGCCGTCTGACGGCCACCGATATGGAGGCTCTCGCTAAGTCGCCGACGGACACGCGGGTGAATTTCTTCGTCGGATGTGCCCGAGCTCCAACACGGGACTGCCGTACCATTCCGAGCACCGTTACCGATACACCATGGGCGAGGACGTACGCGCGCTGGCATTAGCATACAATACCGCGCGAGATTCCTCAGCTGGCGCAGCACATGGACTGTGAGATTTCCCTCGACCGCGCTGCGGCTGAGCTTCCCGCAAAGAAATCCAAGATTTAATCCTAGCGATAGACCAGAGGACAATCGTTGTCCGAGTGTAGCAACGAGTTGAAGAGATCGTGGCTAAATATGTCAATAAATTGCCCCGCAATTTCTATTCTTGATGTCCACCGAGGTCGAAGACGAGAAGATTCATATAAGAAGATCGGGATGAAATCTTTTACGCGTGTACGAACAAATTGTTTCATTGGTCGCGTGCAGTGGCACTGATGTCAATGTTACGAATCAAGGAGCTAAAAATATTGCTGAAACCGTGTAAAAAGATATAGAGGAAAGTCCCATATTACAAGATAGCGGGGTTTCTGTTGATTCCACCATGAATTTGTTGCTCCTTGGAGTGAAATCGTGATCGTTGCGAAAGAAAATTTGTGATTGAATTTGAGTGTTGAAACCCTGCTATCTCATGGTAGAAACCTATCTCATAATAGAGGACTTTTCTCTACGAAAAATGGGAAACGTGCGCAAACGAGATTCGGCGAGCAACGACAGCTTTTGTGTGAGCGTCGAAAGGATACATTGCAACATCTCTTGTACTCCGAGGGTCGATAACTCCCCGTGAGACGAGTAACACTCGACAAAGTCCTTCCGGAGATCGTGGAAATAGTTGTAATGTTCGGGCAGCTCGATGTCCTTGTTGCAAGCTTCCGGATGCAGGCATTGCCTCATCGGCGCCTGGCCGTCCACGACGAAACGCGGCTTGACACCGGAAGTTACGCCAGGTACGGAGCTCCACCAGGTCTCAAACTTGAAATAGAAACGAGACATTCATGTCCGACACGCGATTGGGTTATTTTACAGTTATCATGCCGATCTCCTGAGAAACGCACCGCGCGAGATATCAGCAACTCTATTTTATTGATAAACTTGTTTAAACGAAAAATATTTGCAATTTTCGACGGTATCCCAGCTTTCAATACGTTCCGCGCATCTTCAGGTTCTTTTTGGTAATTTCTTAAACAACTGACTGACAATGCCTTGGCCGAAAGGCATTACACATTTTTGCAAGACAAGTACTTTTTTTCTAAAATTTCGATGAATTAACAAATTATAACCGAAATGTGTCGGATTTAATCTAGTCTGAAACGATTTTTTAAGACTGTTATGTGAAAATGCAGTTAAAAATCAATAGGTTTATAATAATTTATACTACGTATACTATGTGAAAAAAATTTCCATTAAATGTAAGGGCATGAACAGAAAGATTGTTGTAAGTGTTTACGATTTCGTAGTAAGACGCAACTCGATGTCGGAAGTCAACGTATGTACAAGAAATTGTCGTAGGGCGACATACGTCTACGACAATTGTTTGTGCGTTGACTTCCGACACCGACTTAAGTCTTAGGCCCGGTCTGCAATGAGTTGTTAGACGTTAGTCAGAAGTCAGAACTATATGTTGATCCTTTTTCTTCCACCCAAATAGGAAAAGGATAAACATATAGTTGCGACTTCTGACTAACAGCTAACAACTCATTGTAGTCCGAGCCTTACGATATAATCGTAAAACGGTTACGACAATCTTTCTGCTCAGGCCCTAAAGCCCAATGTCCACGATGCTAGAACTTGGTCCAAGTTCTAGCATCGTGGACATTGGCCTTAAAGGCCGAATCAGACAATTGCTGACTCGGATTGGATTGGAATCGGCGATTGGCGATTGTTTTCTAGCCAATGAGCAAAGCAGCCTGCGATCTAATCGGCTCTCGTTGGCTAGAAGACAATCGTCAATCGCCAATCCCATCCGAGTCGGCAATTGCTAGTTTGACTCGGCCTCAACGCGAAAGATCCACGCAGACGTAATCTCGAAAATTGCAGCATCTCGCACAAGTCCACCCCACCGTCGTCGGTACAAGCGGGCACCTGTTCGATAGCCTTTTGCAGAGAAATCCCGTACTCCCGGAGGTTTCGCTCGGTCAAGTTTGGTGCGTGCGCCAGCGCGGCCTCGCTAATGATCCCGCTACTTCCGGCGATCGCTGGGTTCTCGCTGCCGGTCCCGGGCGTGCAACTCTCCTCCATTACCATTGGTCGCACGATGTACTGCTGTCTACCCAGCACCTGCAAGAAGAACATGCCCGAGAGTCGTGAGGTGCCGACGGTCAAGAGAAATGAAAACTCGGCGGGACGAGCTGTTGCTATGCGGCGCGTAAGACGTATATCAATTATACTTTGCGCGCGCCAAGGGGAGAGAGAGAGAGAGAGAGAGAGAGAGAGAGAGCGGCGCGACTTCAATTTTATCTGATATCGGAACAAAAGCGCGGCGACGAGCGCTTTCGCTTCCGTGCTTATCGAGGCGAGTCGCGAACTGCGAGGAAGAAAAAAAAAGATACGCAAGCGCGCTTCCGCGCTCCAAGCTCCAAGTCGAAACACGCGCGCCGCGCGAAAGTAAATGTTATGAAAAATGCGCGTTGCGAAAGGAAGAACGAACGACGCGCGGATTGTTGCACGTTACGACACTTGGCGCGACACGACGTTGCTCCCATCTGTCCCAACATTCGCGAGCGAGATAAGACCCGTACGGCGAAAGCGAGGGATCGTCGTCTCCTCGAGATGAACATCTCGCGATTCGCGTTGTATCTCCCGTAGACGCTCCCCGTTTTACCACCGTCCGCGCGTCGATTCGAGTAAGAATCGACGGCGATCGACGTTCCGCCTCGTTATTTTATTTAATTTTAATTTAATTTATGGCAAAAGAGATACAGTGAAAGAAAGAGTAATACAAAAAGATCGAAAGCAAAAGATACCAACAAGGTTGTTGCCACAAAGCCTACCTGCTGAAGTGTGATATGAAATAGAGCTTGGACAAACGGAAGAATACATATATTCGGAGTTGGGAAAGTTACTTTATAAAAGTATCTAGTTACAGTTACAGTTTATTTGCTAAAATTGCAACTAGTTACAGTTACCAGTTACCAATTCTGAAAAGTAACGCTTTACTAAAAAAAATAACGCTATCGTTACGTTGCAGTTACTTCCTTGCAATGAAAATCCAAATGTCAGATCCGCATTTCAATTGTAAAGTGTCGATAAAGGCGTTTATGCGCAAATGCAAGGCCTAATGCGATCTGCGGAGGTTTAAAGTACATATAAAGTAACTCTTAACGTAACTATTAAATTAGTTACTAGTTATCGAAGAAATGTAACTGAGTTAAGTTGCAGTTACAGATAGACGGAAAGTAACGAAGTTAAGTTAGAGTTTTACCAAAAAAGTAACTGTAACTTCGTTACAACGAGTTACTTCCCAACCTTGCGTAAAAGTAACACATATGGCATATGTCGGCAATGTTAGACAAGAGAAAAAGCAGGTGATGCAATAAAAGTTGCTGAGGAACGGAAAGAGGCGAGAGAGGAAGATGATCTACTGGAAGATGGTAAGCTTATTGTAGTACTCGGCGGCGTTATCGCGCGTTTGTTACTTTTCCGTATCGCAGCCTGTTGTTAAACATACGATTCGGCGCGAATAAAAATCCGATTACGCGGAGAGACACGTTCCGTTTTGTTATCACCGCACGTTTTCTTTTTGCCTCCCCCCCCCCTCTCCCCCGCTGTTTGTTGAAATTACGCGCAAGTCTTCAAGGGAACCCGACGCGATTCTCCCCGATCGGAGCGCAGAACCGGATGGCCGGGGTCCGCGACGGCGCATGGTCAAGGTCACGGGCACCTTGAACCTGACCCGTGCGTTTCCACGCGCATCGATAATGCATCGCGATTAGCGGCATTAACGCCTGGCAGCGCCTGCGACGAGACCGGCGCTCTTCCGCCAGCCGTGGCGATTGCATATCGGAAGGGGCAGGCTACGCACATCCACAGAACAGATTTCCAGACCCGATGGCTATTTCACTTCGGTAGGTGCTTTCCAGCAAGAGACAGATTGACGCAGTGTGGCGCAGAGAATCATTTCCATCCTTGTTTATTCGCGACAAAGGACCCGTTCTTTTTAACTGAACTAGCTGAACTAGTTCAGCTGTAAAAAAACACAGATCTAATCAACAAAGATAAAACGATTCACTGCGTTACACAGTCTGGCTTGTGTACATTGCTGGAAAGCGCCCGATGTATCATAAAATAGGATCGGTATGGCGATAATTGTTTTTACTATTGAAAAAGAAGTGTACACGGACTGAATTTTCTTTGAAAATTTATCCGGAAAGTCCTGTAATCGTGGGACAATACGGCATTTTGAAGAATTTTATGAGTTTTTTTTGGGAAATTTTATAACACATTTTACTAGCGATTACACTTATAGCGAATTCGGCAACTTGCACTAGTGCGCACTGAGACTCGTGCAGAGCCTACTTTTATATTTCTGGTCCCCCCAAGTACATGAACAAAAACTATTCAGCCGAAAAAATGGTCCGTACGAATGTTATACAGATCATTTTACTGGCTACGAAGTATTTCGAAAGATATTTAAGACGATCCTTAATTATAAAAATTGACTCTAAACAAGCCTTAGTGCGTGCTCAGTGCGCACTATTGCAAGCTGCTGAATTCGCTATTAGTAGAGGAAAGTCCCCTATGAGATAAGCTTCTAATATCAGACAGCAGGTTTTCAGCATCCAAATTCAATCTCTTTTCGCAACGATTACACGATCTAATAATCAATTTTCCGCTAAGCAGATTTTGCTCCAAGGGCAATAAATTTATGGTGGAATCAACTGATGATGTTCTATTACTATTAATTTTACAGAAACCCCGCTATCCCATATTAGAATCCTATCTCATAATAGGGGACTTTTCTCTATATATTTTACTATAATATATGTTATCCTCATTTCATTCAATGTAGTAAATCAATCTTTAATTCGAGAAAGGAGAATGGGAATTATTGATTTAACTTTAATATTGTTTCCGTTTTTTTACTACACGAGGCTGTGATAAGTGTAAATATGTTAAGAATATTTTCTGTCTTGTTATCAGAAATCTTGTCTGACGGGATTAAGTCTTCAATCTGACAAGCGGATTCGAATCTGTTGGCGACTCTGTACGATCAAAATAATGAAGCGACTTAAACGAGAGAGGCATTGCTTTTACTTCTAGAAGTGATCGAGATTAATACTTGTAAAGATTTGATTATCTACGATAGGAACTTACAATACAAGCATTTCGAGTCCTCCACGCGCTCAGTCTAGCTCCGAAACTGGGTAATAATCCAATAAGCAAGCTTCATTTTCTTGGATTAATATATTTATGAGAAATTATATTTCGTGTACCGTGTTGGCGTATTAGTCGAATCTCGATAGTCAAGGTACATATCATGGAAATGTTCGAAATGGATTCCGATTGGAATTATTCCGTTTCCCCTAGAAAACACAATAGTAATCTCGAGGGGGAAACCGCTGACTAAAATCTTGTACGCCCACTAATGCCCAGTGGGCATTACTTTATCTTATTATCTTATTTTATCTTTATAATGCCCCAGCAAGGCCTAAGGCCCAAACTAATGCCCAAAAAATGCGTAGTAATGCCCGGGAATGCCCTGTAATGCCACAAATCTGTACACCACAATGCCCTCAGCGGTTTCCCCCTCGAGACATCTAGTATAGTACGAATATAGAATTGTTCGGCCTTAATAAATCCTAATTCCGGGCGAGCTTTACTTTTCACTGCCAACAAATGCCGGGAAAACCTCTACACTAGGAAATAATTGAACAATTTCGAACATTTCCATGATACCCTGACTATCGAGATTCGACTATATCGCTAAAATATAATTCGTATAAATATCACTGCAATATTAATTCAAGAAACTGAAACTCGTTTATTGGACTATTTAATTCAGATCTTTAAGTACGTATTGAATTTTAGTCCGTAGTTAGAGACGCATCGATGCCCCGACAGCTTGGAGCAACAATCCACGGGCAGAGTACAACCATTGACTCAGGATGTCGCACGTGAAAATTAAAGTCAGAACAATAAAGACTCGGGAATCGCTGAACGGGCAAAATCGCTTCAAACTTATGTCTTTCTGAGAAAAGAAATCGCGAAGCCGAATGAGCGAGGCCGCGAGCGAGGGGAATATTGCGAAACGCTTCCTCAAGGCAGCGATTCTCAAAGTTGGCTAATTACACCGCGAAATTTCGCATCCCGCGTTATTATTGTAGGTAAGTAAAGATCTACGTCCAATTGTTCGGCCGCTCCCGAGTAAACCGAAAGGTTCGACGCGACAATTCCCAGGCCGATTCCGTTTCTCGGAACCCGACCGACGTTCCTCTCTTACGTGAATTTTCTTTCTAAATTTTCGAAGGTGGGCGCTGATCGACGTGTCTCGAATCCTCCGCAGGACTGTGGCGCGTGACCAAGTTTGCCAAACGCCCCGTGTTTTGATTCCGGCGCGGTCTAACGACGCCTCGCGTAGAGACGAATGGGCAAAGTGCGAAAGCCCCTCGACCTTGCTGAGCCCGCATATATCTTTTATGCAGGTACACACGTAAGGAACTAAATCAGCATGAGCACATACGAATAATAACATGACAGCCGCGTCCCTCCGACGATCGGCGTGTGCGCCGATGCACGGGAAATCTTGGAATTGTCGTTAGTCAATATTGAATAACAATGACGCCAGCGCCTCGAAAGTAATTGCGGCGAAATCGCTTTTCCAAAATAATTCGCCGCGATGGCTCGCGGGGACGCGCGAGACGAGCGCTTATCGCGGATTTCCGCGCGTTTAAGCTCCTTTTTATGGATTTGTTTGCGCCTATTACGTGTTTGCGTCGCCCAATCACGCTTCAGCCTCACAATTGTATCGCGCTGCGAGGCGTCCTCAAGCTGAGAATACACTCGCGTATTACCAGTGAATCTGACTTTAACATGGCTGTCTTAAGGCCTGCGTCCACGATGCTAGAACTTGATCCAAGTTCGACACGGAAAGAAGGTTGCATTAACAGGATCAGCGTAATTGAAATAAACTCGTCGAAACAACATCGGTATTAATGAATAAAAAAACATCAGATTGTCCTAACAATCTGCATTTACACAGTTCAATGCTCAAAATTGAAATACATAGCAAATACAACCAAGTGAATTATTTATGTTGGTGGCAGCCCGTAACGTTAATG